AGTGTCGCTATGGGCATGTCCTTCGACCGATTTGACGCGTTTTAAATACCAACCTGTGTGCAAGAACTTTCAATGTTTCTGCCAAATTTGAAGTCGATAGTTAAGCTTTTTTGCCCAGCAACGCGCTTAAAACCGACATTACACGGACAGACGGACGGACATGCGTAAATAAATTTAGAATTTGATGCTTCCTGATGCTTCCTTGTGGGCGTTGCAAACATTTTGACAAAACGAATTTACCCCACATCCTTCGATGATGGGTATAAAAATGGTTGTAATATCAGCGTGCTTTCCTCGATATACGCAATGTAATGCTAACATGAAGATGTGTTTGTAACGAAAAGCAGCAGGAAATAACACCGTTAGTGTATTCTCAATATCTGGATAATATAAAAGAAATATAAAATAAATCATATATATAAGCAAAAAAAAAAAAAAAAAAAGAAGAGAAACGACAACACGAGACTTTAAATTGTTGGGAAAATAAACCTTAATGGCTAGGCCGTTATCTTTGACATACATACATCCGTAAACTTACATACATATGTAATATTACTGTCGTCATAATTGTTTTGCAATTTCATAGTTCGGTATTCCATACAATAAACATGTTTGCTTACCATCTTATGTATACGTGTACAGAAAGATGTGTGCACTCGAGTATTTACGTACCAGCATATAGCTATTAAGAAACATTATCGTGAGTAAAGCTTACAAAAGACCGCCAGTAAGCTATAACACGCCAGACCCAGTCTGCGATGGCGGCATATATAATGAATACAAAGCGTTATTTGCTTTGACTTTGATTTTTTCGTCACTTTACAATGTAATTTAGTAGCGAGCGCAAAATACGCTGCTGCACTGACGCAAACATATCGCCTTAAATTCGAACTCAATTTTCTTTAAAAGAAAAAAACTAAAAAAAAAAACAAGTAGGAACATTATAGTCGGGCAAGGCCGACCATTAAATACACTGTATCACGTTGTCTAACACAATTTTTTTTCCTTTTTTATAGAACACAAAAATTATGTCTTTTTTCTATCTAAAGGCATAGTTTTCGAGTACGTTCTTATGGGGAAGCGGACCCAAAACGCAACCTAATGTAGTACAAGTTTAACCCTTGCAGAGGGCAGGATCCAAAAATAGGCGTAGATGGTCTAAAATTTGTAGAGTTCATTCTCGTAAGAAATTAATATTATGGCTGAATATCCAACATCACTTGTTAAAACTTGGACTTCTCTACTCTACAAAGGATTCATTTTCGTGCAAATCGTTATTAGGTTAGAATCCAAAAGACAGCCCGAGATAGTCCAAACTTGGTATAATTAATTTTTTTTGTGTTAAATCACTATTATCGTATAATTTTCATCGTGGAGCACTGAAAATTGTACCTTTTTGACTTGACGTATGAACTTCAGTTTTCGTTATATGAGAGAGGGTTTCAAAAATACCTCAGCCGGTCCATAGTTTTCATATCAAGTTAGAATGCCGAAATACGGCTACTTAGGTGCCTTTGCTGAGAAATTTTGGAAAATTGCAATTTTTTCCCATATAAGGAATTTTCAGAATTCATGCTTGGGTCGAAACATGTCACTGTACCGAATTTCAAAATATCTCAAAAATTCTCATCTTTAGGTTGAACAAAAATTTACACGGACAGACAAGCTGAGATCAATTCAGGTTACGATTCTGAACCGATCGGCATAATAAAAGGTGGGTCTGCCTTAAGCCCTTCTACGTGTTTCATACGTCTGCACTAACTTAATATACCCTGTATCGCAGTGGGTGGATTTCTTTATTCTGTCCCCCCCAACCCAACCATCTAAAAAATTAAACAATTATGTTAGAGAATAAAGAAACTGAAGAGCATAAAAAGAAGAAGGAATAACTAACGCACACACGTGCACACGATTAGGCTTAGTGCTGACAAATAATTAGTCATCACTCGTCTCCTATATGACTTATAGCAACATTTTTGTATCAAAGGCATTTTGTTTTCTCATTTATCATTATATATTGAATATCAATTTTAAGTGATTTATACAGCAAAGTATTTTAACATTCATTCCTTTTAATTATTCATTTCCACTGTTATTGCAATTGGTAAAAATTATAACTACACTAATTGTGTGTTTTATGGAAATTCACATCTGTTTGAATGTATATTATTATTCCAAGGAATGTGATTTTTTTTTTCAGTCGTTCACTCGTCCAGTTCGTTAAAATTTTCGTAGTAGTCATTAAAAAAAATCAATTGCGGGATATATAAAATTGAAAATAGAATTCAAAGAAATTCAAAGCCTTAGGCAACGTACACCTCTAACTACCCGCTTACTCGCTGTATTACTGCCATAGTATATAGTGTTAAAAATTTTTGCTTCCTATGTAAACCATCCTCTTCTAAACCGCTATTCGAGTGTAACTAAACGTTTGCAACACCTAGAAGGGCAAGCTACAGAGAAGCTATAAAATATATATGCACGCCTAATCGGTATCGGTATCATATGCCTGCTATAGGCTAGGTATGGTTGGCCGCCTCATGTGTATCATGTGTATGGTATGCCGGCTGCAAATTTAGCAAAAATATTGGATGTTCTTGTACGCAGATTGGTATCGTAAACAGACCAAATCGGTGAAGGGACACGCCGACAATTAAACATAAATTGAGAGCACCTCTGCTTATTAGATTTGTTTTTCGTTAGCGATGAATCACAATAGGCTCGCAATAAAAAATGGGTGAAATTGATCGAAGGATAATATAATTTTTATTAATTGTTTCTATTTATTGCCCTCTCTTTAATCGGTAAATTGTTAATAATATATCAAATGTAATTGTAAATATTATCTAGTCGGTGAAATGGGTCTAATCAAGTACAATAGCCACTCCAGATTAAGCTTAATTTTATCAAAGTTTGAAGCCGCCCAATCTTGATGATCCAGTAAAAGCGATATATCAAAATTTCATTTGTCCTTTTAATGGTAATTATTGCAATTCCCTACGAACTCTGCTGTAGGAAAAGGGACTTATCTAACTAACCGATGAGCAACAGACGAACATCGTTGAACTCTGTCGTGGGTATTTTGAGGTGTTTATTGATCATATATTGGAGTCACATATTTATACCCTACTACATCACTTGGATAGTTGTGCGGATGCACGTAAGACCCAGAAGAGCTTGAGGTAGACTCTTTTACTATAGCCATCGACTTAAGCATATCTGTCCGTCTGTCCAGATATTTTCGTGTTCAACGTACGGATTGCAATTTTTAAGATTTCTGAATAAAATTTTATAGCATTGACCCTGTGTTTCATCTCACGGACGCAACCTATTGGAAACGGTTTAGATAGGATCATTTTTCATGCAAGTTATTTTTTATATCCAGTCATAATATAAAGCTATATTAAATGTGTGCGGATGTATACAATACATACCCAGAAGTACGTAAGATAGAATCCGCGTTTTTATTATACCCTTCAAGTGAGAATTACTTTCTGAACAGGATTTAAATTTGTCTGTCTGATGTCTGTCCATGTATTTTTGTGTTCAATTTACCAGTCATCATTTTTGAGATATTTTCAGGCTATTGGATATACCGGCCCCAAGGCGAACGCTGTTAAAAATAATTCGGCTCGGATCGCTTTAACGTGTAATACATTATTTTGAATGGTTGTATTAAACGACAATAATTGCCCATCACCAGCTGTCGTATTTTTACTTATTTTCATTCATGGGACTTTGACTATTTATGCATTTGTGGGGCAAATCCTAGGCCAAAATATAGGTAGGATACAAGGAGATACGAGTATAGTAGGACAACCATTCTTATACCGCACTAACATTGCATGCAGCCTTCTGGCAACCAATTATGCCGATTGAAAACATGCAATAGCAGATCAAAATATAAAAGATCAAAACTTCTCAGGCATATCTCGTAACCTACTGTCGTGCATGAGATATGTATTAGTGATTAAACTACATACAAAAAGTGATTGACGAGCATTTCAATCGTAAATTTTGTTTTATTGACTGACAAGCTTCTCAGGTATTGTAAAGTTATCTTTGGGGGAAAGTTACGCTGCCCAAATTGTTTGCGGACAATTCGTCTTGAGATATTTTATTTTCGATGAGGTTTATTCTTCGCCCACAATTTTGTTGCTGTGATTCTTCTCAATCATCTATTGTCCCAGGCAGATATGGGTTGAAATGAATCACAGGAGTAAATGAGTGATTTTCCCATTACAATTATTTTTTACCCTTATCGTGTCATGCCTGTCACCGCGCGTACACATTTTTTTTTTTAATTTGCCTAAGTTATGTCGAAAAACCACATCTCGAAAATCTCAAAAATAATAAGAACAACAACAATGCTTACCGAAATTGTATTAAATTTTTTTATGGGAATTATGCATTTGATTCATTCACATGCAGATTTCCATGTATAATACGTACTATGTTACGTACAATAGTTGCCAAGTTTAATTCAAGGGTGTTTAAAAATCGTTCTGAACTGAGTCCGTGGTTATAGGTTTTTTTTTTTTTTTTTTTTTTTTTTTTATAAGAAAAAAAAAAAAACAAAAATCATCCTGTTACTTTCCTTCTTATTACCCTTACCCTACGCCTTGTTTCCCTCTCATTCTATTAATTCGATACAAAGCAATACGAAAGCGTCACCTTTGACGAGAATTTGTCATCGTTACGATAAAACAAAACAAAAACCAAGAAAAAGAAAACAAAAAAAAGAGAATTTTTTTAAAAAAATTTTTTTGTTTTCTATTTATTGTATATTATTCGTTGTTGTTTATTGTATTTGTTTTGCATTTTTTAAGCTGATTTCGTGTGAATTCATTACACGCGTGAGCAATCGGTACATTTTCACATTTCTCTCGCAGTGTTTGTTAAAATTCTTTTTTTTTTTTTTTTTAAATTAAATTTTCTTATTTGCTTGCTCTCTGCAATTAATCGCTGGTTGCCGTGGGTGTTCTGTCGTCTATGAGAGAGGGAGCAGCAAGCGTTTTACTTTATTAATTGTATTTTATTCAGATAAAATATTTAAAACAAAAGGAAATCGCAAACGTTTATACCCCAATACGCTGGATGAGCAAAATGCAACTTTTTGTGTAAGTTTTTAAATTGAAAATTGAAAAGAAAAAGTTTTTTCAAATGTTGTTCAACTTGTTGTCTGTTTCAAAAAGATTTCATTTGTTTTCTTTGATAATGATAACGATAATGATAATGATAATGATGATGATGGTGAGAGAAGTAGATAAGATGCGAGACATGAGAAAACAAAAAGAAAAGGAGAGAAGAGAATCTGCGCTCGCCACTCTACACCCACCCACCCGGAAAACGAAATAATATGCATTCTATGTAAATATAATTTATAAAATTAGTTTCGACACATACCCAGGTGTATTGTATGGTACACTTTATATACGCTGTCCATATTCCTAATCAGTGCAAAACTCTAAAGCATTCTTCAAAATGAACAAGGTCGTGATAATTAAAATTCTCAAGTATTGAAGCGTCAACCATTTCCTAAATTTTTTTTTTTTTTTAATATTAAAAAATGAACAAACACAATCCACGCAATTTAATTGTAATATTGTATCGAAATTTCCAAGTATATAAATAGACAGAACAACTTCTACAAGACGGCTTTGGCACTAACTTGTAGTTTTAAAGTGTTGAAAATTGCAATGTTTCGCAAGAGATGAAAGACTTGATCTATTCTTGATGTTAAGTTTTTACATATAAGAGCATTAATTAACGGAAATGATTACTACTACATCAAGCAAGCTCCCACGAAAAAAATACACATATATATGTATATACTATTGACCTCTTATTACTCTTCTAAACATTTGCAATTCAATTTTTGCGAATTTAACTGCCTTTTGTTTTGGCCCTAAATCAATTTCCGAATGCAAAAATTTTTGCTTCTCATTTCTTAGGTTTTAAAGAAGTGTAACTCGGCTAATATTTTTTATTTGAGATAAATCTAGTGATGACAGGCTTCGAGACATTACTTACTCTTCGTTTCATTCATTGATTTAATGGTTTAATGTTAGGCGCAGCGGCAATGTGAACAATAACAAAAACGAGAACTCGTTTAATATCTCAATGCATTGAAAACTGAACGAAGGTCAGAGATCGAGCCCATACGCATATGCGTTGATAAAAATTATGATTTCTTTCTCACTAATATGAAGTTATGAAATAGTGGATGTGATGTCCATCGTAATTCCACTCAAAATGCGCAAGATTTAGCAAACCCTTGTATGATATAGAGTTTAATAAGTATGTATGAGTGTATCTAACACACACAAGGTCTTGAAATATTTCCATATTTTATGGTACCGATAAAGTCAAAATCATTTATTGAATTGATATAAATTTGTCCGTCCGCCCGTTTGTCCGGTTGAGGTCTGAGGTCCATGTACTTTCGTGTTTAATCGATCGAGTTCACAATTTTCGACACGTGTGATGGGTTTCATCATAAAGTCGAATCATATTGAACATGGATTAGATAAGACTCGTTGTGCGACCGCTTCTTCAAGTTTTCCCATACAGTGAGCTTACAATTTTACACTTATAATTTCTAAATTTCTCACCAAAAATCGCTGAGCAATCGTATTTTGGCATTCTAACAAAAGATGCATTTGGATTGGGTGGACCATATATTTTAAACACCCTACTACATCAACTTTCTTAAGGAAAATAAGTCTTGATATGGCGAAATCGTTCCATTTTTATTATTTCACAATGATAATTGAGCAATAATTTTTAGTTCGACATAGAACTCAACTGTACCAAATATGAGTGGTGTACGTCTATTTGTAGCATCTTAGTCTATATAAGGAATCAGGTGAAAAGTAAGCGAATCATAATAAAAATTAATTGTATCTGATTTGGATTATATTTGTGCCTATATTTCGGAACCAGTTCTATCTATATAAAGTTATTGATGAAAAGAAAGCCCGAACTGACATTTTCCGAACGAAAGCAAATATGTAAATGAAAAACTAATTCTGGCAAATTTAGACAGGTCCGCTTTGAACCCTTTTCCACATAAGGGATCCCATGAAAAGTGTGCTCTTCTATGAAAACAAGTTGTGATTAAAGTGTAAGTCTACTTGGTACGGGCTGACTATAATTTTCGTAATTTTTTTTTTTTTTTTTTATTTCTTTAATAAATATAATTAACCACACTGGTTAATATTCCCTAAATAGATAGCGTAACCAATTAGAACTGTGACGACACACCAATCGTAATTAAAGCATCGTCTACCGCACTGATAATGTATCCGTTCTGATAATTACGCTTCTTAGTTATCCATGTTAACCCGAGGCATTCGTTTAAGAACGAACTGTATAACATAACATGTGTGTGATCTCCGATTGCCTTATTCTCATATTTTAATGTTTTCTTAAGTATCGTTTTAATGTAAAATTAAAGAAAAGAACAAATGAACGATCAAGTTGCGGCTATTAAAAAAATTCGATTTAAATTGAATATAAATTGTTTATTTTTTATTGTTCCCTGCTTTCTTACGAATATTGCTGACATCAAGAGGATCTTTTTTGTTAAAACAACCAACGACAACATTGTTGTAATGACAGATACTTTCCTTCATATTCAAGTTGTTATGACTAAATAAACAAAACATAGACGAGAATATACCAACGTACAAGTGTGCGTACATAAGTATTTTCGCTATGCATATGTATGCATACATGTATGTAAATAAAAGATAGCAATCAAGAATTCTATTCATATGATTTGTTTAATTAGATACATACTTACATATATATATAATAACAAAATTTTATTGAAATTGTTGTCAAAACAACAGCATTTATTTTTAATTTTTTTTTGTTTTTTTTTTTTTTTTTGGAAAAAAGAAAACACGATATCGATGTATATAAAGAGGACCAAAGTAAACAACAACAAAGAAAGTGAAAAAAAACAATTATCACAAAGCAAATATCTGTCTGACGATGAGAATCAATATTTCGCCTCTAAACAACGTGACATAATTTCATTTACGTGTAATTGGAATGACAAGAATTGATTAAAACGAAACGAAAATGAATATATACAAATAAATGAAAAACGAAAGGGAAATCATCCAACATATGTGAAATTTTTGTAAAAAAATTCACATCAATTTATTATGCATTATGCTTACTGCTGGATGATTAGTAGTAGTAGTAGTAGTAGTAGTAGTAGTAGCTTTAAAACAAATCCGGCTAAAACTATATATTTTGATAATTATATCTCCCGCTATGAGTTTTTAGTTAAAATAACTGACTCGGGCGCTGTGATCTCGATACTTTATAACTTCGATTACATATATATCCATATATATATATATATAGAAATGTGTGATCATTTGATTTATACAAGATCGACAAAGCGAGCAAACGATAATGATGTAAGAACTGATGATTATATTGATGATGATTTTAATTCTGATTTTTTTTTTTTTAATTTATTTTTTTAAGTTTCTTTTTTTTTTTTTTTTAAATGCTTCACTGTTTTATGCTAAGTCATTTCAAAAGTTTTCCTTAGATATTAATTGAGATCAAAAAAATATTAAGCCTTACAATGTATTAACATCAACAATATCGAATGACTACAAAAGCCTAATATTTTTTAGATTATTTCATATTTTTATTAAGATAAAGTGCGTATGTTTGTGATTTTGTTATCTTCTACAATAAATTTGTATTTAGATAACATGATTTTTCCTGTAACTTGTTGTCTTGTTGTTCTTATTTCAATTTATATATATACATATATCAATACATTTAGACATATATGTATATATATATAAATTGCATACAAAAGTTAAAAATAATTAATATCGCTTCAAATATATATTTCAATGGATTTAACATTTCGTCTTTTTGCAGATTTGCTAAAATGTCCAAATACTCAGGTAAAAAATGTCGCTTACTTTCCATGATGCTGTTGACCGGTTTTTTCTTCTTTGTGGAAATCGTTGTCGGCTATGTAACAAATTCCATGTCTTTGGTAGCTGACAGCTTTCATATGCTGGGCGATATAGCTGCGCTCGTCATATCCTTTCTATCAGTTAAAGTAAGATATGGAAATCAATAATTTCAATATAATTCATTGACAAATCACTTATTATTATTTAGTAGTAAACGCATTGTAATGGACTATAGCCTACCATCCATCGTTAAATACCACTTCGGAGGTAATCAAAATGTAAAAAACATTGTAAACATGGGATGAACAGACGAACAGACGAAACTTAAAACGATTCAGAAAGTGATTCAGCAATTCAGCGATTCGATTGTTATAACAGAAGGGTGGTGGGCGGTCCTAGCTTGAGTCACTCTAAGTGTTGTATACATGCACAAACTTAATATATACTTGTACTGCATATGCATATGGTGTAGGGTATAAACACTTCATAAGAACGTTACAACATTTTTTTAAAGAATACTCAAACTTAGAAAATACTTTAGTCTTAAAATTTATTTCTTTGCTATAAGCAAATTACAATAGTAATTAACAAAAAATTTAGAAAAAGTTTCCATGTACTTACACTACTTGTAAAATAGCTTTACGTCATGACTAAACGCCCTACTAATAGTACTATTATTACTATTACTACTACTACTACTACTACTACTACTACTACTACTACTACTACTA